TAACTACACGGGAGAACGTGTGGGTTGAAATGAACATCCTAGTCGAGAAGGCTGGGATCCTTTCAAAAGATCAATGAAGAGAAAATAGCAAAAAATGCCTCTCAGTGGGGGAGGACAGGCGAGTGCGGGAATGATGTTGGGAATATTGAATCATGAAAGGCTTGGGTGACAGACAGTTGCCAAGACATGGGGGAAATGATCTGTGGAAATCAAAGAACTGAGGCATGGGAAGTGAGGGCCCATGAGTGCACAGAGCAGCTAGGCTTTGCTCTAGGGCTCAAAGGGAATGAGGGCACATGCCCAGGGATGTCCCTACAGGTGAAAACACAAGTGGGTCTGTAAAAGAACCAGACTGTGTGGCCTCTGTGGATAGTCAGGACAAAGGAGTTCTTCTGGGCATAACAGTAGAGGAGGCTCCCTAAGGAGACAGCTTCTAGGCACAACCAAAGCTTGTCTTTCTTAACAAACAGAAGGGTGGGGGAAAGAGGGGGGAGAAACAGGAGAGGGAGGGAGAGAGGGGGGAGAGAGAAAGAACTTGTTGGAAGTGCACAGGCAAGGGAGAGCCCTTTATAAAAAGCATGTTCTTATAAGTTTAAAATGTGAAGAGCAGCTCCAGATCTAGCAGAGAGGGATCTATGAGCCATCGCTCACAACCACACATATCCGTGGGGGCGGCCATCCACACTCAGCTATTAAAACTCATCGTTTGACAGGAGTGACTCACACCTGCCCCCATCCCCATTCATTGGATGGGGTGGAGCTCATTCTAACAAGCTCCCAAAGGGATACTGAGGCAGATGGTCCCTAGACCACAAAGCCATTTGTCACTACAGGAGAAGAATCAGAATAGAGATGGGCACTGAGCCACAGCATATACATCACAAGCTTCAGTAGGGAGAGGCGTGGTGTGAAACCAAAATGTGCCACCCACTGAAACCCTGATTTTGGTTTGTTCCTATAGCATAAGGAAGTCAGCAGTCAATGGGAAGCATATTATATAAGTTACTTTTCTCTAAGCATAACTTGTCAACAGAGAAGTAAGAGCCATATAAAAAATCAACACCCCATCCCAAAGCACTGCCATGAAGTACAGCCGGGAGAACTCTGACCTCTTCTGCAGGAGAAGACAGGGATCCCTGGTGCTGCAGTCCACTGGCTATAGGGCACTAAGACCTTGGGTTTTTTTCAAGGAAGGTATAGAAGGGAAACATTCAATGCCCAATGTACATGTGGTTGTAGCCCGCATCAAAGCTTCCCTCTAGCCAGAAACATGAATGGAGACATTGGTCTCAGTACACCTCTAACTCTTTTCTGGAAAGTTCCAGAACTACAGCACTTCCTGTATGGGGACTTGTCTGCGAATCTCACACTACCCCCTTTGGCAAGGATTCTGCATCCTCTTTCCTGAGTTCCTGACAGATCAGGATAATAAGCTAGTTGTAACAAAAGTGTTAAAGAATGTTTATGTCTGGGAGTACAGAAGACTTGTACGTAAATATGGCCAAGCCATTCCATGTCCTACACATGACTCTGTCTATGGAATCAGCTTCAGGCACCTATGTGACTAACAGCCAGAGGCCACCAACTTAGCAGAGGGTAGATTGTAAGTTATGAAGGATGAATTCCTTATTCTTTGTTGTGTTTCTTTACTCTAGCACCTAGCAGGGTCCTAAACAGATGCTCCAAGAATAATAATTTAATTAAAGAGTGCTCATGCCTGATGCGAAAACACATCACCCTTTCATCCTGGCACAAAGTCTGAAACATAGAAGTCACTGAGGTGACCACCAGGCATGGTGGTGCAAGCCTTTGATCCCAGCATTTGGGAGGCAGAGGCAGGTGGATCTCTGGGAGTTCGAGGCCAGCCTGGTCTACTGAGCAAGTTCTGGGATAGCCTTTAAAGCTGCAGAGAAGCCCTGTTTCGGAAAGAAAGGAAGGAAGGAAGGAAGGAAGGAAGGAAGGAAGGAAGGAAGGAAGGAAGGAAGGAAGGAAGGAAGGGGAGAAGGAGGAGGAGGACAAGGAGGAGGAGGGTGAGGAGGAAGAGAAGAAGAAAAGAAGTCGTTGTCACTGAGGCACCTGCTAAGATCTGGTCCTCTGGCCTCCATCCAAGACTCAGTACATCAGATGCTCTGGGATCTGCCTACATTTGTCACTGGTACCCAGGGGATATTACACACATGGAATATGAGACCAACAGCCTTATCCTCATGGGAGCTTGTGTGCACCAACACGAAAGGATGTAATTAAGCAAAAAAGTTTGGAACAGTCACAAACACAATAGAGGTGGGTGGCTTCTACCTCTCCATCCCAGCTGGGGCCCTTGAATATGTGAATACACATTATCTTAGGAAGGTGGGAAGAAAAGAGACCAATGAGGGGGATGGTCCAGAATAGCTGCAAACTCCCAGAGACTTCAGAAGGTCAGCCATGCTATTTTTCCATGTGATGGAGTGCTAGGACCCATTAACAGGTCATCATCACTCAAGGTAGCTCAACACAGCAAATATGGTTCCACTCCACTGCAGAAGGCAGCACAAGGGGAGACACACTTCCCGTGTGTCACACTGCTGTCTGGCAGCCAGGCAGCAAACCATCCTCCTTCAGGCTCCTCCTTACTCTCAGGGAAGCTGCAGGTCTGGCACTGGGGTGTCAGCAGCTCAGCTGCTGGGGTCATGCCCAGGCTCCTGTGCCTGTACCCTGCCCAAGAGCCTAAGAGGCTTCCCATCACCACCCTTCCTGCACTGACAGGGGATTCTGCCACTGCTGGCAGCTGTCAAGGGAGCATCAAACTCAGATGTTTATGCCAAGCCTCATTTACACAAGCTACTTCTCCCGCAAGAGATGAATGTTTAAAACAAACAGCACTTCCATATGCTAGAGCTAGTGGCACAGCACATCAGCACTGGGGATCCCCAGACGACAGAAGCACGAGTCAGGCTCAGGCAGACACCTAAATAAATCGTGTTGGGGTAAAATTCCTCTTTGTAGTAGGAGGAACCTCTAAGTGATGGCTCAGGATGCCCCAAAGATGGCAAGCTCTCCCCAAAGGAGTGTGCTCAGAATGGTCCAGACCTATACTCAGCATCATCACTGTCATGCACTTGCCTCAAGACCCAGCCAGCTGCACCACCTGCATCCCAGCATCCCTGTTCACACACACTCTCATTCCATCAGGGGCATCTGAGGGCCCTGCACATTGGGCATGGATTGCTGTGTGTCTGTTATATATTTCCTGAAGCCCCTGAGGTTTGGGGCTCTTATCCCCAAAGATGAAGATGCTGCCTTCAGGTATATATACAAAGCTGTTGGAGAAAGAAGGATGCATGAAACCAGAACACACCGCATTCCCAAAGACACAGGCCACTGAGGTCTCTGCTAAGGAGCAATCTGGCCACCGAGGAAGTCTTGGATGGGAAGCTGGAGTCACCCAGGTCACAGCTTGCTCCTTTAATTCTACTTCTGGAGACTGTAGGAGGAAGTTCACGATCTAATGTGAACAACACACAGTCTGCAGTGCTTCCCAGACAGAGAAGAAAGAAGCAGGCAAGAAGAGAGCAAGCAAATGCTGGGGTTATAACTACATTTAGGATCCACTATGGCCTGGGTGCTCCGGTTCCCTCTCCCCTGAGGGTCACAGCTAGAAACCTAATTTCCCATGTAGCAGTATCAAGAGACAGAACCTGTAGGGGCTGGTGGAGTAATGAGAGCTCTATTATCCTGAGTGGGATTAGAGACATTATAAAGGAAGCTCCAGGTCAGCCTGGGCAACAGTGTGAGTCCAAGGCAAGCTGGTATAAATATAGATACTTTATAAAGAAGTTGAATAAAGAAACATCAAGGAGTTGTGCTGCCCTATCAACCGAGTAAGAACACAGCTATAAGTCATGTTCCATCTATGAGGAAAAGCCCTCAACAGCCCTGACTCTGTTGTCCCCTCTGTCTTGGACTTCTCAGTTACTAGAACAATGAGAATTAAGTCTTCATGGTGACCCAGTCTCAGGCATTTTGTGACAGCATCCCGACTACATTGAAGCAGGACCTGATACAGAAATGAAGCCCATAACCTATGTTAGTGACATCAGAAGGACAGGCATCTCCACGATATGCTGGTATGGCAAACTTCACCTGTAAATAGGGTGGAAGAAAGGGCAGCACCCAGGTGGCCCCCTCTCTGGGCACAAGCAGAGGTTATGAGCAAGACCCATGGGGAGGAGCTGGCTCTCTGGGGATGACTCCTATGTCCTGAGATATGAGAATCCTTGAGCTGCCCTTGGGGATGCAGATCAGGTGTGGTGGCCATGGCTGTGGGTGTCTTGCAGTGTGCTATGGATGGAATCTCTTTTTCTTCCTTTTTCTGTAGTTAGCAGCATGAGGGTTGGATGCCCCCAGCCGTCTTTACATGACAGGATCTTGGCCCAGGCTGGCCATGAACTCAACCTGTAGTCCAGCAGAGTAACCTTGAACTTGCAATCCTCCTGCCTCATCTTCCCACATAGCTAGGATGACAAGCCTGAATGTAGATAGGGCCTTTATAACCCATCATAGGCTCCACTTGAGCATCTGTGGCTTGGTATTTCAACATGCAAAAGTATCCAATAATCGACATAGGCATGAGGTCATGTTTACACAGCCCTGATGTGAGGGACAAAGGCAGTATTAGCAAGCAGCTAAGACTCAAAGACAGGAGGTGGGAAGCATTATGTATTTCCCTAGGTTGAAAGAAAAATCAGACCAAGGGGCTAGAGAGGTGGCTTGGTTGGTAAAGTGCTTGCCTAACATGCATAATGTCTCATGTCCTGCCACTACCTAAGCCAGGATATAACAGTGCCTGCCTATAATCCCAACACTCAGGAGGTAGAGGTGGAAAATAGGGAGTCAAGGACATTCTAAAATACTTAGTGAGTCTGAGGGCAACCTGAGCTACACAAGATCCTGTTTTAAACAACAACGAAAGCTAGCCACAGGCAAAACCAACCCCAAGAGAAAGAAAAGTCACAAACCAACTCCATTCTCCACCAGCGCAGAGTGGGTCCCATCGCAATCACTGGCATCCTGCTCTCCAACCTGGTCATTCAAATCCAAATCTGCTTGATGGGACCCATTTCCAAAGTGTGACTCGTCCTTCTCGGAGCCAGCATCTCCGTTCTCCAAGCCGTTCTGAGCTTTCTTCAGGGGCATGATTTGCAAGCCACTGGGAGTAGTCCTATAAGACACAGTCTTAGTAGCCCTGTCTGCAGCCCCAGAGGCCTTTCCTGAAGATCCCTTCTTGGGCCTGGACAGGGGAGAGTTGATGCGCTTCCGCTTGTGGGAAGTTGATTTGCTCTTCCTGGGATCCAGAGACCTGTGGGAGGGTCTCTCCACTGGGGGGCTGCGGGTGTCTCGAAGCAGCTTAGAGGCTCCAGCTTGCTTCCCTGACTTCACCCTCTTGTCCTTGGACACATGCAGCCCATTGAACTCATCAATAAACTCCTCACAGTGCAGGAGGTGATGCTCTGGCTCCCATGTGTCCTCGGTGCTGCCATAGCCTTTCCATCGGATAAGATATTCCCATTTCCCCTTCTTGTTCTTCCTCTTGTCCACAATCCTTTCAACCTGGGGATGCAAGACAAGAGAGTGAGAAATAAGACACAACAATCCATTTTACAGAGTGCCTGAGACCACCTTATGTCCAGTTACAGATGGACAGGCAAATACTGAATAGCTGCTAACATTGGCTACAAGAGTCCCCAGCACCCAACCTAGAAAGTTTAGAGTGGAAAATGATTAACAGTAAAGCTTGCCTGATGACCGGCAGATGTGTCAAGGTCATGTACTTGAGAAGCTTTAAGATAGACAAGGATGTGAAATGTAGAGATGAAACTATGTGGAACTTTTGTCAAGAAATAGACAAACGCTAGGTGTCGAGTGACATGTAAGATTGTACCTCCCTGGTAACTTGACTTTAAACAAAAGCCTAGAGTTCAGGTTTATAAAAAACTGTCCCATGCACTCCCTCGGAACACTTGTACTTTATCTGGGTGGCTTCCCAACTTCACAAAGTCAGACTAGCCCAGCCTTTGCTACTCTGAGGCTCAGCTTGCTATTTTGAGTGAAGGTCTTTGTTCCAGTCAATCCCAAGCAGCAAGAACAATGTAATACTCCCAGGAGTACTAGGGAGAGAGCTGATTTGTTTTAGAACATGGCAGAAGGGCTGGGGTTACAGCTTAGCTGCAGAACACCTGCTTTGCAGACAGGAGGCCCTGAGTTTGATTTCCGTAGTCATACTGCTCCCACTCAAAACTAAAGCATCGCAATCATGACCATGTCCCATGCTGCCTCTGCTAGCTGTACCCCACTGGCAGCCTCCCTGTGTCTACCCTCACTCACTCCTCTGGAAATGGCACTTCAGGCTTTCTCAAGAGGTTCTTATTTTCAGGGCTGCAAAGTGGACTTTGAAAGACACATATAATGAGGATTTCTACTCATAAAAATGAGTAAAATTAATTGAGCAATAATACAAAAGGCAGCATACTAATTTACCTTTGTGACATCATTGATATTTTTATATAATAAAACTTTTGAAATCATATTTGTATGTGTGTGGGGTTGGGGTAGTGCATGTGTGGGTACATGTGGGGGCCAGCAGGGGGGTGTAGCTGGGATCACAGATGGCAAAGGGCAATCTGAACTGGGTGTTAAGAACCAAACTTGAGTCCTCTACAAGAGCAGAACATGCTCTTCAACGCTGAGCCATCTCTTTTGTCCCTGTAAAATAAATCTAATATATAGCTTTCGTTAACATACAGTAAGCATGTCTGAGATGATGAATACTGAATATGGAATGTTGGCCTGAGGACCCGTCCGTCACATTTTCTTCTGACATCCCAATAAAGTAAGCATCCTCTCAGTCTCCACTTTAAAGTGAGGGTACTAGGGCACAGAGATGTAAGTCACTTAAGTCCTGGAACTGCTAAAGGAACAGGTTGGAACAACTCTCACCCCAAATATTGTCTCTCAATCCCTATACAAGGCTGGCCCTTCTTGGGGGCAAGAATCTCTCAGATTGGACAAAATGGATTTGCATCAACCAAGCTGGGTTCTCCTAGATGCAGCCTCCATGGCTGCCACACAGGAGTGCAACATGGAGGCAGAGAGATGAGTACAGCACTTGTTGAAAGACTACACGTGCCTGGCATACTGCTGTGGGAAGCATTGCTATTGTCCCACCCGGCAGGTGAAGAGACTGGGCATTCTGGTTAGGGCTTCTATTCCTATGATAAAACATCTCATCCTAAAGCTACTTGGGAAAGAAATGGTTTGTTTCCAATTACATCTCAGGTCACATTCCATCACTGAGGGACCTCAGGACAGGAACTCAAGATAGGCACTGAAGCAGAGGCCATGGAGGAATGCTACTTACTGGCAGCAATTTTGCTCTCCTTGGCTCCCCCAGCCTGCTTTCCTATACAACCCCAACCTATCTGCCCAGAGCTGGCACCACCCACAGTTGGCTGGGCCCTGCAACCTTAACTATTAATCAACCACATGCCCTACAGATTTGCCTATATTCCAGTCTTAAAGGAGCATTTTCTAAATCCAGATACCTTCTTCCTATATATGTCTAGGTTTGTGTCAAATTGACAAAAACCAACCAGGACATGGTACATCAGGCAACTTGCCTAGGAGCATAAGCCAGGCTACAGTAGATGTGACTTTGAACCTGCTTCCCATGTCTAAGCCAAGTGCTACTATCTAGAAACACACTCCCTTATATTACATAGATAACACATTCAGGGTAATGCCGGGTCTGTGCTAACAGCTGACGTATCCAAGTGAAGGGACATTTTTATTAAATAATTTTAACATTTATTTATTTATTTATTTATTTATTTATTTATTTATTCTGTGACATAAGCCAAGGGTACTTTAAGAGTTCACTTAATACCCTTTCAAACTTGTTATCCATTTGAATCTGGTTTTGTCAGTGGTGGCTGGTCAAAGTGCAAGGGATGAATGTCTATAGAGTGCTCAGCTTAAATGAGACATCCAGATCACACTTCCTCCCCCTAATGCTCAAGTGCCATCATGGGAGAGGGGGCAGGAGTTAAGAGCCAGAGGTTGGAGGAGAACTTGAGAGAAACAGTGTTCTCTGGACACAATGGGACCACTGTGGTTGTGAACACACAGCAGCTGTGGCAAAATCAAACCAGTCAATATTCCAGCATGGAGAGAGAAGGGAGCCACAAGCCTCCCCCTAGCTGAGGAGCTGTTGACAGTTGAAGGTTCCTGGGGAAGGGAGTTGGTTTTCTGTAAGTCTGTGACCCCTAGTAGGTTGACCAAGCTCCAGTGGAAGGCCCACACCTGTTTGCACATGGGCAACAGAAACTGGACTCAATAAGTTCTAAGACAGAGAGCGAGAAAGCACAAAGTTGGGAAGGAAGGAGGGTGGATCTTGGAAGACTTAGGGTGGTGGGAAGAAGCAGGGGGGGTTCAAAATATATTTTATAGTTGTATGAAATTCTCAAGATTTAATAAAAGTATATATCTTTTTAAAAATGTGCTTGTGCATGCCTTTAGTCCCAGCACTTGCGAGCTTTAGCTACACAGATTTCTGTGAAGTTGGGGATAGCTTGGTCTATCTATATAAAGAACTCTGCCCCATAATCCACAAGTACTCAATTTCTATGAAAAAATTAAAACACTGCATTCAAACATATTTCTCTGTTTGTTGTTGTTTCTTTTTGTGCTACTGGAGACTGGGCCAAGGACCCAGGACCTTGTGAATATAAGTGTTCACTCATGCAGCAATGCCCCTACTCTTCAACCATACATTTCAGTGTCCACATTTACAGGATGAAATTCTCATTCACTGGCATTGAGCTACAAGTAAAAGCTGTATTCCTGAAACTTACAGAAGACAATACAGGAGGGGAGGTGCGTGCAGTGAGAGTGATGGTGGTTGTAAAGGAATAGATATAAGGGGCCCCTTAAATGACTGCATGTTTACAGGTTGAAGTTCTGTGAACTGTGATCATCTCCCTGAGGGTTAACATGTAACAGAAGCTATGGGAAATAACGATGTGGCTTTCCCTGCTCTGCCTTAATAAATATGGATCTAGCTAGGTCTCACCTCCACTTCATAATACTGCCTATTGGACAATTTTAACTGATTCCTTAATTGATTCATCTCTACTTAAATTCACCTCTTTCTATTACAACTTCTTCCTTACAAGACTCTGTTTTAGAAGCACTGCATAAATCATACAAACTCAATAACAGTTTTTTTTTTTTTTAAATAAAACTAGGACCGATTCACCCTGGCCCCCACCTACACAGTCACAGGTGCTGCTGGTCACTTATAATTAACACTTCAGAAAGCTCTGAGGGTTTCTGAAAGAGCCTGCTGCTTTGTTTTCTTTGAGGACATTGTGGGGAGAAACTTTGTGCAGGTGACAAAATAAGAAAAGGGAATAAGCAGCCTGGCAGTATCTGGAATGGTAATATGCCCAAGGACACCAGGCTGGACTGTCACCAGCAAATACACAGCACTTGGGAGTTAAAGGGTGTTAAAGAGAATGAAGGTCTCTGCTCTAGAAAGCATAGGTCTGGCTCCTACAGTGAAGAGATTCCCCCCCCCAGATAAAGCAGAAGACAATGTTACACAGTGGGTGGATGTTCAGGTGGGCTGGTGGATCATGATGGACAATGGATAGATAGATAAACAGATAGATGCAAGAGTGGATGGAGAAAATGGAACATGGATGGATGGATGGATGGATACATGGAAGGATAAGTGATGGATGAAAAGACGGCTGATAGGTGAAAGAATGGGTAGAAGGTTGAGCTCATGAAGTCATAAGCAGATGGTCACATTAAAATGATGTTAGTATGATAATAAGAACAAAGGCTTCAGAAACAAAACCATCTTGATTAAATCTCCTATTAAACACTATCACATATTCTTAAGCACATTTCTAAATGTCTTTGGGCCTATGGAGACTCATATACCAAAGAGCAAGGAGGAAGTAACTGGCCCATTTCACTGGGTGATTGTGGGTAATATACAAATAGGAGTTTTCACATTCCACAATAAAAGTATAGCCTCCTATGACCATAACACTTGCTGGTGTCTATGACCAGAATGTTTTTCTATCTAGCACAAAATGACCTCAAGGGACATCTCCTCCCCTAAAAGAAGTAAGTGCTTACCTACTTGGATAAATCCTTCCAAGTACAGAAGATAGCTCCACACACTAGTGCTGCCCCACAATCCAGGAGTTGTCAAGAAGCATGCAAAGTCTAGAGGGCTGGGATGCTACACTGGAAGGGGAACTAGTTCTGTTCTCTTCAAGTTACTGAAGGTTTCAATAGACCACTGCTCCCACCCCAGTCCCACCCACAAAGCCACTGGATATGTAAACTAACTCAATATCAACTATAAATAGGATTCATGGCATCACTCTTGGTGGCCTGCTGTTTATAGGGAAAAATACTGCCACCCTCTATCTCTATCTCTATGACTGGAAACTTGCCCAATCATTCTGGACCTCAGTTACTGAAACAGACTTAACAATATAAGAACCAACATCACTGTGAGGAGGGATGGAAGGATT